TTGGCCCAGTCCCCAGTGCCCATAGTGAGGAGACACAAGAACACTCAGTCCATACAGAAGCAGTTGCTGATGGGAAATGGACAGTCTTGGTGACTGAACTAAAGCATTGGCCCTCCCCCCTTGTCAGGCCCAAAGAGATTGGAGTTGGTGGAGCATGAGATCCCTAGCACAAGGCCCCACTGCTCTATCGATCCCCCCTAATGAGAAAGGAAGTGGAGGGAAGAGTCACAGCCACCTTGAGGGAAGGCCAGGGCCCGCCAGTCCCACCGAGGCGAATGGCCCCTGTCCTGGCCCAGCCCCTGGGCACGGCATGCACCACACCCAGGACCCCGGCTGGCAGGGAGGCCAGCCCCAGGGAAGCCCCAGAGGCCGAGCTGGAATGGGACATTTCGGAGGATAAAAATAGCACGAGGCTTCCCTCCTCTGACCTCAGCCGGGGCCCGAGACCAGGGTTTCATGGCAAATTATGGATTTAAAACTAGCCATGAATCTCCATTACAGCATGAAATGAGAAAGGAAAATGCTACTAAATGGAAGCCTTTCCTCAGCAGCCAGCGGGGCAGGGAGGGGTGTCACTTTAGGAGGGAGTTGAAAGCCGAAGTCACAAAACCCAAGGCAGACTCAGAGAGGCTAAGATCAAGGACAGTCCCGGAGACAGAGGCCCCGCAGAGGGAGTGGGGTCCAGACCTCCGGGAGACGCCCACTGTGCTCGTCAGCAGAGGACACGGCAGCGGCAGAGCGGGCAGCGCCCACCTGCAGGTGCCACGACCTAGGCTCCGCGCTCCCTGCAAAGTGAGGGCGCCTGGCCTCCTCAGGAGAGGGTGGGCCAGAGTGCTGCTGTTTTGTTGGGTGTAGGGACGGGACCTGCATTGCAGATGCAGTGAGGGGGGGCGCAGGGGGCAGGGGAGGGGGGGGAGAGAGGCACTTCAGGAACCTTGGCCCACCGCCTGGGTGACCCGCACACGTGCCAGGCAGACCCCACGTCCCCTTTCCTAGACAAGAAAGGTGGCACATGAAGACACTCATGAACTTGCCCAAGGTCACACATCAAGAGAGAAAAAGAGTCAGAATCTGAACTCAGTTTCTGTGGCCCCAAATCCCCTGCCCTTAGAGGCCCGTGCCCCCCGCCCCGCCCCCCGTCATCCAGAGCTGTGCTCAGACCCACTGCACCCACTGCTGTCTGGCTCCTCCCTTCAGATGTGGAGGCAGCACCAGTCTCTCTCCAGCCTCGGGGGCCTCTGGGAGCCCCGTCCGAGCACGAGCCCCATCCCTGGGACCCCACAGTCACAGAGGTGGCCTGTGCAGTGAACCGCGGGCTTTGGAAAACCCTTCCCGGCAGCCCATTCCCCAGACGCGCCCGGGCACCAGGGCCCCGAGCAGCACAGCATCCATTTTCCATCTCATTGGGTCCTGTTACCAGGGGGCTGCCCGCCGCTCCTCTCCCCATCACTCGGGGCCTCTAAATTGTCCCGTCTGTGTGGAGGGGGCTCTCCTAAGAGGGAAGCTCATCGGCACCCGGAAGCCCACACAGCTGCCTCCAGCTCCCAGAAATAAATAGCTGAGCCCCACGGCCCAGGAAGGCTGACTTCCAAAGGAATGTTGCGTTTTCACAAGCCTATCAAGGTGTTGGTAAATGTTTATAGAAAGGAAGAACTTCCCACATGTAAATATGTCAAGAAAGGTGTTAGCAGCTGAGAAATCACCCAGGGCCAGGAAGAGCAGGGAAGCCTTGGGGTAGAGGGCAAGAACGGAGTGGGGGGGCAGGAGGGGCGGGGGCAGCCTGAGGGCCAAAGAGCCACCCCCACCCAAGAGCCGGTACTGCTCTTCCCCGGAACACACGGCTCCCTCCCACCTGCCACCTGCTTCCCCTCTGTCTGCGCAGTGAGAGACACACACATAGTCCCCACGGTGCTGGAGACAACTCGCTTTACAGAGGGGTCGACTGAGGTCAGAAAGGAAAGAGAATATTCCAGAGGCTGCAGGATGCGCAGGAAAGGGAAACCTGTCGTCTCTGATTCCTCAGGATGGAGGAAGGTGGGCCCTGAGTGCGGGTCCCCTGGGACTCCCCCATCTCTCCTCCAGTCCAAGTCCCAAATTCCAACTTGTCCTGAGTAACCATTCTGCTCATGACCAAAACCTAACCTTGGGAAGACCCCACAAACCTAACCTTGATTAGAGAATTTTAGAGCTGAATGGAGCCTGCCAATCAAGGGTTCTTTATTCATTCCATTTTTCAACATATGAGGGGGGAACCCACAGAAACCTAGAATTATCTTCTGGAGGGCGGTCCCCTTGGAGTACAGGCTTCCCTGCTAGGTGAGCGTTCTAGGAACCCATCTGCATCAGTGTGCCAGCTGGCATTGTTGTGAGAGGCTGCATTTGGCTTCCATGAATTTTTGTTGAAGACTCCTTTCATGTATTTGCCCATTTCATGATGGGTGATTGATGAGTCCACCTGCCCACACCATGCCGAATATTCAGCAGTTTTTGACCAAAAATGGCATGACCCCCGGGCCCCACCCTCCCTAGGCTCCCGATCTCACCCCAAGCAACATTTTTGTTTCCCTGGATGAAAAAAGTCCTCAAAGGCAAACGTTTTGCTGATGTGGAGGAGGTAAAACAAAAAAAACGGCAGAACTAACAGGCGTCAAAATCGACGAGTTAAACTGTTCTGAGCCGTGGAAAAAAGTCACGATGGGCACATTGCTTCAAATAGAGAATACTTTGAAGGTGACTGAAGTTTAAACATGTAAGAATAAGCACACAATTTTTTATAAATAAATTCCAGTTTTGAGGGGAGTCCTTCCTTGTATACCTACCAGGCACTAGACACTGGGAATATTCATCAGTGATCAAAACTGATTAGACTCTTGCCTTCATGGAACTTCGATCCTGGAACAGTAACAATGAACACAGGATGGAAATGTCATTTACTAGAGGGTGGTGAGTGCTGTCCAAACAAGGGCCCAGGGGACTGTGTGTCCTGGAGGGACAAGCAGGCGGCCTGGTTATCTTTCCCTTTATTTTTTTTTAAGATTTTATTTATTTATTTTTTAGAGAGGGAAGGGAGGGAGAAAGAGAGAGAGAGAAATATCAATGTGAGGTTGCTGGGGGTCATGGCCTGCAACCCAGGCATGTACCGTGACTGGGAATCGAACCTGCAACACTTTGGTTCGCAGCCTGCACTCAATCCACTGAGCTATGCCAGCCAGGGTTTTCCCTTTATTTTTTTACAGCTTGATTGACACATAATTGACACCCCCCTAAATTCACTCATTTTAAGTGCACAGCTTAATGGTTGCTAGCGAATTTACACAGTTAGGCAGCCATCACCGAGATCCAGTGTGAGGCCATTTCCACAAGTCCCTTGTCAATTTCCACTTCCATCCTGTTCCCAGGCCGCTGCTGGCCTGCTTTCTGTCTGCAGATTTGCCTCTTCCGGACGTTTCCACAAATGGGATCACACCACATGCGGCCTTTTGTGTCCGGCTCCTTTCACTTAACAGAGTGTTTCTGAGGTTCACTGATGTTTGTACCATGTGTCAATAGTGCATTCGTTGTCATCGCTGAGTGGCATCCGTCGTGTGGCTAGACCGCATTCTGTTCATCCTTTTGTCACTTGGCGGACATCTGGGTCACTTCCAGTGTGGTGGATAGCGCTGCTGTGAACATTCACACACAAGTGCACGGGTGTGTCCACATTTTCATTTTTCATGGGTAAGTTTTAGGAGTGGAATAGCTAGGTCGTGTGGGAAGTTCAAGCACAGCTTTTTGAGAAAGTGCCAAATCATTGTACTTTCCACAGCAGCTGTTTTGTTTTATGGCATTCCCACCGTGAATGAGAGTTTCGGGTCTCCACGATCTCATCGATACTTGTCGTAGTCTGCCTTGTCTATGACGGCTATTCTAATGGGTTTGAAGTGACATCCGATGATGGATTTAATTTGCATTCCCCTAATGACTAATGATATCAAGCATCCTTTGATGTGATAATTATCCACTTTCTATTTCCCTTGGTAAAATGTCTATTCAAATCTTTTGCCCATTTTTAAAAAGGATCATTTGTCTTATTGTGTTGTGAGAGCTCTTCATATATTCTGGACACAAGTTCTTTATGAGATATTTAATTTGCAAATATTTTTCTCAGTTTCTGGCTTGTCTCTTTATCTCCTTACTGCTATCTTTCGAGGCACAAAAGATTGTCATTTTAATCAAGTCCAGGTTAGTATATTTTCTCTTTTATGGATTGTGCTTTTGACATTGTATCCAAGAACTCGGTCTAATCTGAGTTCCCAGAGGTTGACTCCTATATTTTTGTCCACAAGTTCTATGGTTGTAGCTATTATATTTAGCCTGTAGTGTAAGTCACGTTAAGTTAGTTTTGGGGCAGGACGTGAGGCAGGAAACTCAATCCACCATTTCTGCATACAGCTCTCAGGCCGTCCCAGCATCCTCTGTTGGAAAACATCATCCTTCTCCCCACTGAATTACCTCCGCACCTTTTCCGTGTGAGGGTCCTTATCTGGACTCGCAGTTACGGTGCGCTGGTCTAAATATATGCCTATTCTTCGGCCAGCACCACACTGTCTTACATACTGTCACTTTATAGTAAACTGGAAATTCAGGACAAGGAAGTCCTCCAATTTCTTTCTTTTTCAAAATGGCTTCAGCAGTTTTGGGGTCTCCTATAATTCCATGTGAATTTTAGGATCACCTTAATTTCTGCAAAATGGTTGCTGGGGTTTCTACGGGAATTGTGTTACAGCTGAAGCCCAACGTGAGGTGACTCGCCGCCCCCACATGCTGCGTCTTCCAGCCCACGGCTGTGGACCGTCTCCCTGTGTGTTTAGGTCTTTCATTTTTCCCAGCAACACTTCTTAGTTTTTAGCATGCATCTTGTACTGCTTTTGCTAAATGTATTCCTAAGTATTTTATTATTTTTGATGCTATTGTGAATGAAATTCTCTCTTAATTTCATTTTCAGATTGTCCCTTGCTAAATATAGAAACACAAATGATTTTTGTATATGGATCTTAGAGTCTCTTGTTGAACTCATTTTTTAGATTTCAAATTTTTTTGCTGATGAATTCCTTAAGATTTTATGCACATAGGATCACATATGTAAGAACAGTGATAGTCTTGTTTTCCATTCGGGTGCATTTTATCTCCTTAGGGCCTGTCTGGACAGGGGTGTCCCACCCATGGTCCTCGGGCTGCGTGCGGCCCAGGATGGCTATAAATGGCGGCCCAACACAACATCATACACTTACTTAAAAACTTTATTTTTTTTTTTTGCTCATCAGTATTTGTTAGTGTTTGGGTATTTAATGTGTGGCCAAGACAATTCTTCTTCTTCCAATGGCCCCAGAGACGCTGAAAGGTTAAACAGTCCTGGCTGGAGCTTCCAGTGCCCAGCTGGATGAAAGTGGTGAGAGCAGACACGTGGCTTCACGCCCAGCCCCGGGGAGGGCACTCGGTCTTTGCCCATGAAGCACAACATAAGCTGTGAGTGTCCTATGCGCGCCCTGCAGTGGGCTGAAGCAATCTCCATCGCTCTTCTTCACTGAGAGGCTTTACCATAAATGGTACTGAGTTTTGTGAAATGCTCTTACTGCATCTATCGAGATGATTGTGTGGTTTTTGTTCTTTATGTGACATGCTAAATGACATTAATTGATTCTCCAATGTCAAACCGACCTTGAATTCCTGAGGAAAATCCCACATGGTCAAGGTATATAATCTTGTTTTCATGTTGCTAGGTTCCGTTGGCTAAATTTGGGTTGGGGGGTTCATGCACACTCGTGATGGACAATGGTCTGGAGTTCTCTGGCGATGCCTTTGTCTGGCTGCATTATCGAGGTAACGCTGGTCTTGTGGGGTGAGTCAGCAAGTGCTCCTTCCTCCTCTTCTGTCCGGAAGATCCTGTGAAGGGCTGATACTGTTTCTTCTTTAAATATCAGATAGAGCTCATCAGCAAAGCCATCTGGGCCTGGAGTTGTCTTTGTGGGAAGATTTTTTATTTTGTTAATTCAATGTTTTCCCTGTTGTAGCTTTGTTCATCTCTCTGTAGAATGTGGCTTTTAAAGAAAAACTGTAAGAGTTTGGGAAAGGAGTTAGCTGGGAATCTTGGGGCAAAATCCCTACTTGAAGTGAAAAAATGGAGTGATTGAAGGATTCCCAACAGGAGTGACATGATCTGACTTACCTTCTGGAAGGGTCACATCGGCTGCTGGCCTGAGAACACACGTGAAGAGGACAAGGGCCGGGGCCCGACAAGAGGCCCCTGCGGGGCACGGACGAGAGGGGAGGGGACACCGGCCATGATGGTAGCGGTGCGGCTGTGACAGTGGCTATGAGAGAAAGACGAGGGTTACGGATGACACAGAGGCAGAAAATTCTGGATGGAGGAGTGCATTTCTGGGGAGAGGTTTCACGTTCTCAAAGGAGTTGCTTGATAAGCTCCCCAAAGGATAAAAATGGCAGATGCAGAGCATCCCCTTTGTTTTTAGGAAACTGTGGTTCCGCAGGGTTCGTTCCTCCCCCAGGGCCACCCAGGGCACCAGCAGTAACGCTGGGGCTAGCCCAGGTGCTTTCTCCACCCCCTGAGGGCTTGCCTAAATGGCTCATGTGATAGCAACCCTCCACCCCCACCCCAGCCAGTGAGATCCCCTCCCCCTGCCTGGGAGAGAGAGAGGCTGTACAGAGAGGGCCCTCCTCTGGGTCCGGCTTCAGGTGCCCCCTGCCCCCTGTCCCTTCACAGTCACCCACCCCGCTTCCCCATGACCATGGGTCTGCCCCGGGGCCCAGGCTTCGCGCCTCCCCAGGAGGAGCTGAGAGCAAACCTCTCTGCCACTCACAGCTCCCTTTCCACACAGAAAAGCAACCCCTTATCTGCCTTGGAGAACGAGAGCCCTCGGTTTTTATCTGTGAGGCAATCTTATCTAAACAGGTTCAGGTGGCAAGACTGAAAGAGAAAAATAATTAAGGGGGAGGCAGGTGAGATGTTGACATTATTATTACTTAAGTGCTGCAAAGCTTTTAGTTCATGTTTTTATACCGTGACACCCGGCGAGGGGAAATCTGCTCGGGCCATTATCTGAGCCGCACAGCCGCTCACCCCACCTCCCCGCCACCTATAAATCTGATTAAACAGGTTCCATTGGCAAGACAGGGAAATAATTAAGGGAAAGGTAGGTGAAATGTTGATGTTATTACCGTAATACAACAGCCTGTTTAGTCACTATGCCGGCGAGATGCAGCCGAAGGGAATCGGTTTTGAAGATTACCTCCGCACGGCGCACGGCGCAGACCGAAGCACCGCAAGCCCAGCCGCGGGGGGACCGGCTGCGAACGAGGACGCGGTTCCAAGTCGGCGCCATCTCTCAGGGGCTGTTGAGCCCACAATGTGCCTGTGGACGGCATCCTGGGTCCTCGCAAACCCTTCCTTGCCCACGTATTTGTTGACTAGAGACACAGCACCAAAAGTTAAAAAAAAAAAAAAAGGGTGGGGGGAGAATGATTCTGCTGCCCCTGGTCCTAAAACCCCATAGCAGGAGATCTCCTCCGGAGGGGGCGGCACCGCCGCGTGTGAGCCTGTGAGCCGGTGCTCCAGGGAATGTTCCCCCTCCCCCACCCCCCGGCCGAGGCGGCCCACCCGAGGGGCTGCTCCCTGACCTCCCTGGGGGGAGCGGCTGTCCCTCCTCGTCTTCCCAGGATGCTGGGCAGGGGGCTGCAGGCAGCGCCCCGGGGATAGGCCACCGGGCCTGGCCCGCCCGAGGGGTCTGGAGCACTGTCCTTCCCTAACAGAGGTGCTGACCCAACCAGGTGTGCGTCTGCCAGGCAGCGTGGGGGCCTCCAAGTGGTGAGCGGCCCCCCGAGAGGGCAGAGACCAGAGGCATCTCTGACCCGGCCTCACAGTGACCGCAGGCCAGTGGCAGGCCGGATCAGGCACGAGATATGCTCCGTTAGCTCCTAGGCGAGGGTGTCCAGCATTTTGGCGTCTCTGGGCCTCGCTGGAAGAAGAAGAGTTGTCTTGGGCCACACATTAAATACACAAACACTAATAAAAACCGATGAGCAAAATAAAAGGTTTTAAGTAAATTTACGATTTTGTGTTGAGCCGCATTCATAGCCATCCTGGGCCGCATGCAGCTGTGAGTATCTTAAGAGGTTTTTTAATTTGTTGCCTACATTTAAGATTCTGGAGGCCTTTGTATTAAAAATTCAGGTTTCTGGCTTCTCTTGTAAAGATCCGGCAACATCAGGCCCAGTGGCAGGCAACAATTGCGTAGTGGCTGTTCCGGTCAGTGAGACATGTGTGGCCCCCCGGCCCCCACTCGCTGTGGCTGGCCCCCGCTGCTCGATGCCCTCATGGAACCTGCATGGAAGTTTGCTGCCCCGGCCCCCCAGCCTGGGCGTGGGCCTGCTTCAGGGAGTCACAGTGTGGACTGGGGTTAAACTGTCAACCAGAAAGGGCAGGTGAAGGCAGGCAGAAGCCGGGCAACACCCCGTCACCCCGCAGGGTCACCAAGGGCAGACAGATGGGTAGGGGAGCTTCGGGGAGTTCAGGCAGGAGGAGAACAGATCAGCTGTTCGCTGCGAGGAGCCTGGAACTGGGTGTACGCGCCCTCTGCCACTCGGGGCCTGGTACGAAAACGCCCAGGACCCAGGACAGGCCAAGCGGGGTCCGCGTAGCAGGCAGTGAATTGAGTGGAACTACACCCCCAGTTCCCAATGTGGTCAGGGAGTGGTGTTCCCCTGGTTAATTAACTAGTCAACACCGTGCCTGATGGGTTAATTAGCACCAAAACGTCAGCACTGAGAAATACAAGAACGCCTTAAAACTAGATCCCATGTCTCAACGGAACTCATGTGAGTCTCCGGAATACCTCTGGACCAGACTCTGAATCAAATAGGCTTTGATCCAGGCCCTTGGTGCCGCCCCAGGTTGCGGGGTCTCCGAGGACGCCCAGCAGAGTGTCCAGAGCTGTGCTGCGCAGGAGAGTGGCTGCCAGCGAGCCGCTATTTGATTTTAACTCTGAACTAATTAAAACTAAACAAACAGAAAATACAGCTCCTCCGTCACACTCACCTTGCTTAGAGCACTCAGTAGCCTCATGCGGCTTTGGGAAGGCTTGTTTCCCCAGGAGGCCAGCATTCCAGGGTCCTCTGGGCAAATTCTGTCTCATCTTTTTTTTTTTTAATTTGAGAGAGAGAGGAAGAGAGGGGAGAGAGAGAGAAAGAAATACCAATGTGAGAGAGAAACATCGATTGCCTCCCATATGGGCCTGGCCAGGGATTGAACCTGCAACCTTTTGGTGTATGGACGACTCTCCACCCCTCGGAGCCACCCAGCCAAGGCTCTGTCTAATCTTCAACAACCCAGTAGCATTTGGTAATCGGGACAGGTTCAAAGGCTTGGACCTGGACAGGGACAGTTTAGCTTCCCGGAAGCATTTATGTTGATATCTTAATGCAGTCAGTGAGTGGAAGCCTCTCATTATTCACTCACTCTTTTATTTACCAAAGCTTTGTTAAACTCCTATTGTGTGTAGAAGCATTGTGTTGGATACAAGGGGAGATATAGAAATAGCTAGCACTATCTGTGCCCTCGAGGAGTTTATAGCCACGGGAGAGAGAAAACATACAAACCGCTTACTTCTTCTAATAAGACAAGGCAAAATGAAAAAAGGGTTTGGATACATAAATAAAACAGAAAGAGTTCAAGTCAGCTGAGAAAAATCTGGGAAGGCTTCGTGAGGGAAGTGGCTACTGAACTCTCCCTTGGCGGTGGGGGTGGGAATTTCAGTAGCTGGAGATGAGAAACCACTCGTGATAACAGGAGCCCAGACACAGAGAGCGCAAAGAACACCTCCCCAACCCCTCAAGGAAGGGCCCCTGCTGGGGTGGTTTTGGGGATCAGGAAGCCTAGAGGGAGGAGGGGCTCAGCAGGAGAGGGCCTGGAGCCATGCTGAAGCCTTGAACTTGGTTTTGGGCAGTGGGGACCGTCGCGGGTGTCTCAGTAAGTGCATCGGCTGATCTGACGGTCCCAGGAAGAGAGCCTGTGGTGCACGGGGCACAGGTCTGGAGGTGGGAAAGTGTTGGTCGGTTAGATCCCGGCTCACAGGAGAGGGGGCGTTTGCCCAGGCCCTTGAGGGGCTGAAAGAAAGGAGGCCTGCTGGGGCTGTGAAAGCGGGGTGCAGCGTCGCAGCCCCAGTTCTGGGGCACAGTTGGGGGGTGCTCCTGGGCAATGCCTTTAATCCCATTCAATGCCACAATGATTCCAGCAGCCAATATCCCCTGTCACCTAAGCCACCTACAGCTGCTTGAATGACTCCGGGGCTCCCAGGCTGCAGGTTCCTGAGCCGCTTAATAACTGGCGTTTGCTGAGGGCCCCCTGCAGGTGGTCCTGTGGCATAGGGACCGAAACCTCGGCTACTTGTGGGGAAGTGCTGCCCACAGAGGCTAGGTGACCCGACGTCCTTCACTGTGCCTCAGGGGCCACCCACCCCCGTCCCCGAGCCGCCAGTTCTCTGCGTCGCCTTTCCTCACTGGAAGGTCAGGGAATGAAAGTCACGGGGTCTGGGGGGGGGCACCGGGCCTCACAAGCCCCTCCCCGAGGCTGTGGCACCCCGGGTGCCCTGGAGACTCTGAGCTCCTCTCTGGGAATATTTAACTGAAAACAATTTCTAGTTGGGATCTGTAATCATTACTAATTGGCTCTGATTATAATGGTCTCTCACTGCCACCCCTTACCCGGCACAGGATGGGACGAGGCCCCGCGACAATTAGCAGCGCCCTCCCCAAGACACCGGCTGATTAGGAACACAGCCGCAGGGTCGGGATGGGCCTGACTTATTAAAGGCAGGCAGCTGTTTACCAAGGAGTGTTGTGACCTAATTAGATTAAAATTAAGGAGGGGGGACCTCGAATATTTTTCCCTCTAATCTCCTTTTAGTCTCTACTGATGTGTCACGTGGGGAGAGGAAACTGAGCTCCCTTCTTCCCCACCTTGAGGTTCTGAAGTTTGCTGGCCACCCCGTTCTGCCCCCACTCCATGCCCAGCCCCATTCCAGCCCAGGGGGACTCAGTGCACCTGGTAAACGGCCTTTAAGCAAGTCCCCTGGACTCTCCGAGCCTCCCTTCCCCATCTGTCACGTGGGGAGAACACATGCCTCTGGGCGACACCTGCCCCAGTTACCCACAGGCCTCTGGGGGCAGTGGGAAGGGCTGTGTGTGCACAACGGGGACCAGACACCACGCACAGCTGAGCTGAATCATCGGGAGCCTCTGCTCAGCCCCAGGCTTGGCTTGGAGAAAGAGCCAGCAACGAAGGGGGAACCACAACCCCACAGGACCCGTACAGAAGTCTCTGTCCCCGAGAGCAGCAGCCCCCTGGAAAAGAGACACCCCGCTGGGACGGGCTACCCACTGTGGGGCACGCACGTGCACACTCAGCATGGCACATGCACCCGGGGAACAAAATACTCCATCCTCGCAGTTCGCCTCAAGGAGAGGCAGCCAGGAGCCAGCTGAACCACCTGGGTGAGTCACCTCACTTCTCTGGGCCCAAACATGTTCATGCACAGAGTCCCCCGGGTTCTTGGGCCGATGCTGAAGAGCAGAAGCAGTCTCTCACAGAGCCAGCAACGGCGCAGCATGGCCACTGCGTGACTGGCCTGGCGGCGGCACTGGAAACCAGACCAATCTGTGCGAACCACCTGAAGTACCAGCAGGGCTACCCTCGGCGTGCTGCACACGGGTGCGCGCCAAGAGGCACCGGGCACACAGAAAACCGCGGCTCTGTTGTCGGTGATGAGGGACATACAACACGCGTGCACACACCCACACCAGGCCCTGCAACCCAGGCGCATGCAGATACAGCCCCACATGCACTGGGCTCACTTAGCAGCTGCTCGGGCCAAGTGCTCGCCTGCTCTCCAGAAGGGCTCTCAGATGAATCCCGAAGTGCATTTCCTCTGCCATCACCCCTGCTCCAAGAGGGGGCCCCTGCACCCCCCACTTCCTGCTTACTCACCCCCAAGGCCCTGTCGCCCTCCTGGGTGATCATAGCCTGGGGGGCCAGCCCAGCTGCCAGTCTGCAGAGAGAAGCTCCCAGGACTTATGACCTGTCTTTCCCCCTTGGCCAGGCCCCGCTTCCCCAGGCCCGACTCCCTGCTAACACACCAGCCCTTGTGTCCCCATGCCTGTCCCCAACTTCCTGGAGGGCTTCCGTTCAACGTGTGGACCTGGTGGAGACAGAAAGCCAGGGCATACTCACCCCGGACTTCACTTCCTTTCCCAGGAACCTCTGCTCCGTTCTGCCTTGTTCCCATTGCCTCCACAACACCCACCCACCCTTCCCTCTGCACTTGGCCAGAGCCCTGGGTTCCCACAAGAAGGGAGTTGGAAAGGAGATGCCGTGGGTGGGGCAGGCACCGGACTTGCCATCGGGCTCCGAGGCCCTAGCACTGTGCGCCCTGCCCAAACCACTTGGCCTCTCTGACCCTCAGTTTCTTCCTCTATAAAATAAGAACCGAGAAGATCTGCCCTACCAGTGTTCCAGGCTTTCAGAAAAAGAAAGGTGAATGGATGTGTACAGGAAGGCAGGTCGTAAACAGCGCGGGTCTGCAGTGTTCTGAGCACAGGCACCTTTGAGAGTCGGCCAGTCATTCCTGCAGAGTCTGTCCGGTCGTCTCTTGCTGTGTAACCAATCAATCCCCCCAAACTCAGGGGAGTCAGACAACAGCTATCACTTGCTGGCTCACACAGTTCCTGCAGGTCAAGGAGCTGAACACGGCCCTCAGCCTAGTGGTGCTAGCTCGGGGCACTTCGTGGCGGTAACCATGGGAGGGCCGGGGGCCAGCTCTAAGTGTCCTTTACTCACAAGACAGTGCCTGGGTGCACGGCCGGGGCTGGAGGGCTGGGCATCTCTCTCCGGTGGGATGCCCTCAGGGAAGTGAACTTCTCACTCGGCTGCTAGGGCTCCCATGGGGCCCCCAGGGGAGGGTGCAGCCTCGGCCATCTGCTTGTGGGAATCTGCCTCTCTCCCTAACACACAGCCTGCCCTGCTGGTGTCCTGTGGCCAGAACCCACATGTGGGCACCTGCCAACCCCACCCACCCCTACCCCTGGGGGAGGACAGGGCACTGGGGGGGGTGGGGGGCGGCTGTGGGCAGACACCTTGTCAGCCTCTGCTGGGCTCCCTGGAGCCAGGGACTCAAGACTGGCAAACAAGAGGTCGGTTTGCCAGGATCTGGAATTCAAATGTGGCTTTGACTGACTCTAGCCAGGCTGGCATCTGCCTCCCACCAGCCCAGATTCTCTGTAGCAAACTCATAGAGATGAGCAGGCTCAGGATCTCGGGCTGTGGAAGGTCAGACTGGGAAGGTCCTGGGGACCAGCCAGTGCAGCAACAGAGGCCCCAGCAAGAACCAGCGGGGAATGTCTGACTCGGGCACCTGGTGCCTCCAGCCTCAGCTCCGCCCCCTGCATGCTCCTGCCTCCCCATCCTCTCCCACCCTCCTGCCCTCACTCTCCCCCCTCCCCAGCTGGCTGACACCGAGCTTCCCCAGTCAGGGTTAGGGTCCCTTCCAGGTACCCATGGCTCCTGACAGCACTGACCATGACAGTCCTGGGCTCTGTGGGGTCTCCCCGACCTGAACTGTGTGTCCCCTGGAGGGGACAAGGGTCCCTTGCTCTCAGCACCCAGTGCCTAGCCCAGGCCAGCCAGACAGCAGTGCTCAGTGAATCTGGCAGATCGGATAAATGACCACCAAGGGCACCGGCCGGCTGAGGCAGCTTGCCCTTCGGTGGCAGCCACCCAGTGTGTCCCGGAGGCCAAGCCCTGCTCCTGCTGATGAAGCGACCAGAGGGCTGAACCAGGCAGGGGTTTCCTCATTCCTCCCCTGGCGCGGCCAACAGGCCAGGGCTCAGCCAGCGTCCCCAGCACCGGCACCTGGCCTCGGTCTTCTCATCTGGCAAATGGGCATAACTGCTGCCAGCCTGCAAGGGTCTTATGGAGGTCGGGGTGCGGGCGGGGGAGGCGCTGCACAGGAAGGGGTTTTATCGACTGTAAAGTTGGGGACAGGAGTGCGAAGCTGTCTCCCGGGCACAGTGCTGTACTGGCGGCAGCCTGTGCAAGCGTATCCATCGACTCTGCGTTCAACGACAACAGGCAGGGAGCTCGAAACCGGCTGCCACGGGAGCGTTGACACCACAGAAATTGCCAAGCACTGCAGTTTGGGCTCTGTTTGGTATTGCGTTTTGTGAAATGTTTGAAGAGCGTTTTCCCAGCGCACCATTGCCCAAGCCCCTCCCCCGACTTGACCTGAGACAGCAGGCGGGTCCTTGCACCTCTCTGAGTCCCCCTTTCTCCAACGGTGAAGCGGGAACGAGTGTTCCCACCTGCCCGGCTGCTCAGAGAGGCTGTTTGAAATGAATGGAGGCACCCGGAACGCTTCAGTGAAACTCGGCTGGAAACGTCCCGGTTCAAGCCGCTACTCCCCATGACTCATGCCATTTACTACAATCGCCCTTCGTCATAACATCAGTGAGAGCGTGGCCAAGCGCTGACTCGCACCCGGCACTGCGCCCAGGCTGGAGAGACCCGGGGTTTGCTCAGCAGCCTCCCCAGGGGCGGGTCTGGCCCTGGGCCCCCAGGGAGCACCCACAAGTCAGGCCACAGGGCCACCCTGGAGGACTGGGATAATCAGGCAGGGCCCCAGGGGCCCTTGCTCTGACCCAGGCTCCACCGCTAACTCACAGGCAACCCCGGACCTCTGCCTTTCCCCCCTGTGAGCCTCCAGGGGCGGCCAGGGAAGTGGAGGAGACCCTGTACATGAAAGCCGTTGGAAAAGCACAGAGCACCAACTTAATGCCAAGTGGGGACCCTGGGGTGTGGAGAGGCCTCCAGCACGAGAGCTGGACTCGCCCTGATGTCCATCCAGTCCTGTGCAGACGGGGAACTTTGTGCCCCTGCATGCAGCTAGGAGGAGCTAAACCACTCATATTAAGTGTCTACTGCGTGCACTGCTGTTCCAGGCAACGAAATACCTGGAACACGCGCGGCACTGGGCCTTCAAGCCATGCTGACGGTACTGCTGTCATGCCACTTAGCAGACACGAACACCGAGACTCGCAGAAGGCAGACCCGCCCAAGCTCGCCCAGCTGGAGCGGCAGCCCTGACACTCAGGTCCTGTCGTTGGAGCAGCAGGCTCGGCGTCACCCGAAGCCCTCCCTCCCCTCCACGCGGGGCTCCCCTCCACCACTGGACGGAGAACAGACAGGGCCCACCCCCACGCTCCCAGAGGACCCCGAACTCTGCTCCCCTCTAAAACCCGCCCCTCCCTGGGCAGGTGGGCTGTGAGCTACTCAGCCTTGCACACCTGCTGCTGCTTTTCGAGCCAATGGCCATCGCTGCCCAACCTCAGGCTCCAGTAGAAAGGAGGGGGGTCTTCCTGTCTCTGACCCCAAAGACGGTTCCTCGCTTTGCTTCGCCTCCCGGATCCCCAGACGGCCACCTGGCCGGAGAGATGGGAGGCAGGGCCGTTCTCTGGGAGATGAGGAGAGAGGAGGGAAGGGAGACGATGAGCATTAATAGTTACATTAATAATGAGTAATTCCAGGGATTTCACATATGCCATCTGACATAATCAGCCTACTAACCATCAGAATAAGTATTATTCCCCCTCCCATTGTGTGATGGCGACAGGCTCAGAGAGCTAACTAACTCATCCAAGGCCACGCAGCCGGTGACTGGGAGGCCCCAGAGCCAGGCTCCCTGGGGCAGCGTCAGAGCCCCCGGGGAACTCCGAGAAGGGGCCTGCACATTCCTGACGACCCACCGCCCAAACCCCGCCCCCGCCCCCGGGCTGAGGGCTGCGTGACGCTGACAGAGCTCTGCCCGCCTCTCCCAGCAGCTACGTCCAGTGAGCACAAGCTGACTCCAGGGAGGTCTAAATAAATAGGCCAAAGGGCAAAGCGGCCTTTCCTCCCCCCACACACGCACTCACACGACAAATTCCAAAGTCAAATGCAAAGGACATTCCCAACTATAGGCCAGATTTGAGTGGTCCGGGCGGCGGGCCACAGACATGAATGCCTGTCACGGGGACCTGGCTGTGACTTTAAGATGCACCCAACACATTTCGCGTCCAACCAGCACGGAGCCCCTCACCTGCCCACCCCACAGAGCAGCTGACGGGCTGCCCCCAGTGGCGCTTCCGCATGTGGACCAATGTACGCAGCCCCTCCACCCCCTCCCCATCCCTGTGCGGTGGAGGGATGCGCATCAGGGCTGAAAGCCAAGCATCCGACTCGGGCTGAGGCCGGGACACCCACAGCAACTTGGTGCTGTCCTGTCCCTCTCCATAGAGTGTCCACCGTGCCCAGGACACTTTCCGGGTGGTTCAATTGCTAATCAATGGGAAGGGAAGGCTTGGAGGGGAGACAGCAAAGAGAAGGGAGTTGGTTAAGAATCCAAGGGCCCTGGCCCGGCTGGGGGTCCCAGAGAAAGGGGTGGTTGGAGGTGGAGAGTGAGGACACCCCGGGGTCTCAGGAAAGCCGGGCATGCCAGCTGCCCAGCCAAGCCCAGTGACTCAAATGCCTGCAGCCCCCTCCAGACCAGCAAGGCCCTTAGGAGCCCCCAAAACAGCCGCTTCCAAAACTGGCCCATGAATCCACCCAGCGGTGCTCGTAGGGTCAGACGGGACTTTCTGGAACATAGCAACACTCAGCATATCTGTGGGTTTTCAGATCTGCCTGTCCCAAGCCATCCGCATCTGGAAGTTCGCACCACCTACCCACCCCCTTCCTACAGGAGTGCCTTCTTACCTTTCCATTTATTCCTTGGTCGTCTGCTGAGCCCAGTCTCTGAGCAAGCCCTCAGCTGGGGCAGGAAGACAGGAAGATCGAGACAGGGCTGCTGCCCCCAGAAGTCACCCCCAGCCTGGCTCCTCCATCCAGCCACCCCGAGTCCCAACAGCACACCCTGCAGGGGCAAACGGGAGCACTGGCTGAGGTCCCATGCGGGGCACAGGGACACACAGCAGACGAGACCTGTCCCTGTCCCCGGATGCTCGGCCAGTCTAGTGGGGGCCGCAGGCTCCATCTGAGCAAAGCCGAAGGTTCGTGTAGATGTCCTCGAGTCAGAAAGGGGCAGCAGACATTCCACGGAGAGAGAGCAGCCCCTGCCCACCTACCCCCTAGGCTCGTGGAGGTAACGGCGCAATAGGGTAACTATGTGGGGAGAGCTTGGGGTGATGGGAAGGGCCCTTGTGCCTTCATGGTCCCCAGATGAGGGCCCGCCTCCCCAAGGCTGGCGAGAGGGAGGCCAGCCACAGGAAAAGGGGGAGGAAATACCCTGCGCTGTCAGAAAGGGTCACTTGGGACAAAAAGAACTGATCTCCAGCTGAGGTCCAGGTCACACACTGGCCAGCAGGATTCCCGTTCTGTGTGATGGCCCCACACCCAGGGGCCCATCGGGATCCACCTTCCCCAAGGGCTGAAGGGCCAGGCTGGCCAGGGGCGTCAGGGAGAGAGCAAGCCTGTGGAGTCCGGCCCCAAAGGAGACCCGAGACCCGGGAACTCGGAGCTCAAGGTGTTTGAATGAACAGCTGGCGTGTGAGGCCATCAGCCAGGATGGGGGGCCCTTCCCCGCATAACCAGGGGCACCCTGCACCCTCACACCACCCTGGGCTGCTCAGCCCCTACCGGGGACTGACCAGGTGGAAATACTTGAGACCTAGAGTTGTGAAGGGAGAGAAAACCCTCATTCTTCCCTTGAAAAACTGATTCCTCATGAAACAGCCCTTCCCCCAGGGCCCTGGGAGTAAGATCCCCCTAGGGAACCATGGGGAGAGAGCCGGCGGAGTGCGGCACCCGGTAGGTTCGTGATCATTTACATGGTAGTGTGGAAAGTTAGTGCAAACACTAGGAAAGTCTGGGAGCCTCCTGCTCCCTCCTAGGCCAGCCCCCCACCCAGCAGTGCACTGTCCCAGCTCGCTACCTGCGTGGCATTCCAGCAGCTCTGATGAGGTCACACATATGGACGGCACTGTCGCCCTGAGACCCCACAGCTCTCCCCACGTTGCTCCTCTTACGTTGCACTTGACTTGAGCTTTCTATTTTCCCAGCCTTACTGAGCCGTAACGGACCTATAACGCTGTGTAAGCTTAAGGCATATGAGTGTTGATTCGATACATTTATATATTGCAGCGTGATTACTACCATTGCATCGGCTAGCCCTCCGACCCGTGCCATAATTACTGTTTGCGTGCGTGTGGTGAGAACACTTAAGATCTACTCTCTTGGCAACACTCAAGTGTATAATGCAGTACTGTTAGCTACAATCACCATGCTGAGCTCGAGAGCCCCAGATGTCATTAATCTTGTGGCCAAAAGGGCGTACACTTTGACCCACACCTCCACACCCCCTCATTTTCCCCACTCCCCGGCCCCCGCAACCTCCACTCTACTGTCTGTCTCTCGTGGTTCGGCTGTCTTGCCTTCCACATACAAGTGCGGTCGTGTGGTGTGCGTCCTTCCTTGTCTGACTGACTTCCCTTAGCACGATGCCCTCCAGGTTCACCTGGTTTGTGGCAAATGCCTGGATTTTCTTGTCTGTCATGGCTGGGCATAACTCGATTTCTCCAAGCGATGCCCTGTGGTTGCAAAGAGGCACTTTCCACGGCAGCGCCCCAGGAGACGGCGAGCACTCTCAAGGGCACTCTCTCCATACACAGGGGAGGCAATGCCCCCCAGGTGCGGAGGGAACGCGTGGTCTGCCCACGAGCCATGAGGACAGGCAATTCCAAAATTATCTGTGATGCCGAACGATAGAGGAGCATTCCAACACTTCTCATAATGAATTCCCAGAGTGCTGCCCTTTTTAAAATTCAGAGACCTGTACTTTTCCAAACAGGCTCAGGTTCTGGCAAAGAGTAGACTTGAAAATGTTGCGTAGAGTTGCAAGGTGCATTTCGTGGATTTCTGAGATTCCCTGAAGTGAGTTTTTGTGGCAAGGGACCAGACAAAGCACCTCGCTCCTTCCCTTCCCTTCCCTGGAGGGCTGTCCTGGGCACTCCGGCTCCTCCTCCGAGGCACAGGGACTGGGCCTCCTCACGCTGGGCTTCGCCCCGAGCTGGGTCACTGGGCCCTGGCTGGGCTCTGCCGCTCCCCCTGCACCTGTCTCCCCCTGCGAGTCCCCTGCTGCTCTTCCCTCACACTCGAGCTCTGTCTTCCCTCCCCACCCTGCAACCAGCCGCTGTGCGGAGCAAAGGCACGTCTTTATCACACAAAAAGGAGTGTGCCTAGACTCTCGTTTTAGATGACAATCGTCGGTATTTCCTATTTATTCCTGAACCCCCTGAAAGGAAGTGACCCTTTGCCTGCAGCCCTCGGTTTCTGCACAGGCTGCTGAAGCCCGGGATACTGGTTGGGAAGGCTTCCTGCACCCACCCCCCACCCCCGCCCACCTCCTCCCCTCCTTGGGGAAAGCCACCGGGCTCCCCTGTGAGGCTCATGGCCAGATAGGAGGCTCGTAGCCAAATCCAGGGATCCAGCATATCAGCCCTGCTTTCTGCTCTTGCACCCAGACAGACAACTCGAGCCACGCCAGTCTCCTGCTGGGTGAGGGTGGCTATCTTGGAACTGGGGAAGCCAGCCGGTGCTCGGGGACAGGTGCTCGCCCCCGTGTGGCCTGCGGCACTGAGGTCGCTGGACTCTCGGGCCTGATCCAGGTGTCTGGTTCCACCACTTACGACGTGTGTGACTCACCGCGAGTGGTTGACCTCGGCTTCCCATCTGTGTGAAATAAGGACACCGTGGGGCCCACAGCAGGAGCTGGCTGTGCGGTCTCAGGGAGCAGTGGGGCGAAAGCGGTGACAGGGACTGAGAGGGACCAGCTCGCAGCGAGGAAACGAGTCGCAGGAGGCGACGTGCCGCCCAGGGAACATGGCCAATGCGACCGTAATAGCTTTGTGGAGTGACAGATGGTCACTGGACTCACCGCGGTGATCATTTTGTAATGTATAAAAATATTGAATCACTATGCTGCGCACCTGAAACTAATTTAATATCGAATGTCAATTATAATTCACTTTTAAGAGAATTAGAAACCGGTCGATGGCCGCCCGTGCGCCACGCTCGGCTTCCCTGGACCCCGCCGGGCTGGCCAGGAGACTGCTGGCACCGGGCCGCTGGGGATGAGCAGAGGAGCCTGGGAGGTGCGGCGCGGCGCCGCACGGCAGGTGCGGGCCGGTCACTGGCAGACTCGCCGAGGGAGGGCTGTCGCGCTGTCCCGTGGCCATCCACACAGGAGCTGAGCCGCAGAGAGGAGCGAGGCCCGTCCTCAGCAGGACAGCCCACCCACCTCCCTGGTGGCCCACGGGGGCCACCCACACCTTGTGCCCCCCCACCTGTGCTGCCCACCCTGCAGCCCCGAGGGCCCACCACCCACAGTTTCCCTTTTGCTGCTGCTCTCAGAGGCCCCTCCCCACCGAACGGGGAGCTACCTCGGCCCTTCACACGTGCCCTCCTGCACTGCCCCCGGCATCCAGAGCCAGGACTCACGCGGGCTCACACAGGGACACGGAGAGAGACACGCAGGCACCAAGTGTGTGTGCACACACTTGCACACACGGCTGCTGTCTGTCGCCCTCCTGCCGTCCTGCTCTCCCCTCCCTCTGCTCCACACACACCCTGCGATGTGTTTGTCTGCTCCGTATTAATGAAACATCCTTCTCACAAACAGCTCCTCACTGATAAGTTGGCTCAGACCCTCTCCCAAGGTCTAATCTGGAATAAGCAGAACGCTCGTCCTTCCTCATTTGAGGGGGAAACCAGTGACTTTGTCCCTGACGGCATCCGCCCCCCGCCCCCACCCTCACCTCATCACCTTGGCCCCTCCTCCTCCTGCCCCTCCTGTCTCTGCTTCCTCCGTATCACTGTCACCATCACTGTCACCGTCACCGTGCTGGTTTGTCACGGCTTCCAGGCCGGCCACCGACCAGCCACCAACCGTGACGTCCGGGGAGGCCGAGGCGGGGCCACAGGTCGAGGATGGAAGCAGGTGACCTCCTATGCGCTCTGCCTGCATGAGTGACTCAGCCACGTGGTGCCTCAGTCTCCTCATCTCCGAGCTATCCAGGGTCATCGTATCCACCTTCCACAGGGTTGTTGTGAGGGTTAGATAGTGGTGATGTTTACAGCACTGAAGGTTCTAGAAGTCTTGTCAGCCCTGGACCAATGTCAACTATTACTTATATTGTTGCTGTTGGGGTTTTTACTACCACGTCCAAGGAACTGGACATGCCAGGTGGTGGGGAAACGCAAAGAGGCCTCGCCCCCGCCCCCCCTCGTCTGGAGTGCAGGGAACCTGCAGCCGGCTCCAGATCCGGCCACCGGGCTGTGCTGAGTGCCTCGTAGAGAGCCCGGCGCAGGGTTGGGGCACCTGGTGAGCGTGGTTTCCGACTCGGCAGTTTGGGCAAGGCGCCAGGCAGCAAGTATGCATGAAGCACTCACTGCGGGCTGGATGCCATGCTACAAGCCAATGCGGAAAGAAGAACCTGGAAGGGGCCAGGCCTCCAGGGACTCACGCTCCCGGGGCAGCTGACAGCAGCGGCAGCCGGGCCCCGAGAGCTCAGGGAAGTGGCACAGAGTCTCAGGGCAGAGCAGAGACTGGATGAGGGACCACAGGGGCTGACACTGAGAGAGGGCTTTCTGGAGGAGGCAACCATCTCAGAGAGTGACCAAGAGTTCACGAGGCAAAGGCAGCCTTTGAACCGGTGGAAGAAGCGATGGGATTCCAGCCAATTAAGACTCGGGGTCGGGACATCCCCTGCAGAGGGAACGCCCCAGGCAAACGCACGTGGTTCTAAAAGGACAGGCTCTCCTTAGGGGGAGGTGAGCCGGCCAGCCCAGCTCAGGCATCAGAGAAGGAGCTGGAGAGAGAAGGAAGGCCTCTCTGCAGAGACCCTCAAATGCCGTCCG